CCCCGCCGAGCGGAGCGGGAACCCCGCCGGGCGGGACGGGGGCGCCTTTCTCCGGCGGAGGCGGCCCGGAGGGGCGGCCCTGAGGGGCGGTGCTGGGCCCGGCCCGGCCCGGCCGCCTGGCTGCGGTGGCTCTGTGCCACAGAATAAAATGAAGGATTAAAAAGATGCGTGAAATTATATTTTGGCGGTGTTTTGTTTTTTTTTTTTATACTTTACACAGTCAAACAAGAAATAGAGCCGTGCGTTTTTATAAAGCAGTCTTGCCCTACCAGAAAGCACATTATCTCTGCTCTCTCATTTTATGTATTATTTATAATACAGTGTTTCTTTGTTTTTTAAAAAAGCAAACACATAGGCACTGCTAGGTGAAACGAGGAACAAAAATGCAACTTTTGTCACCAGCTACCCATGGGTTGCACGTGGTGCATGTTACGGAGAATGCGTTAAGATGTAGGGGCTGTATTTCGGTTGCACATTTGGCATTGCCCAGGCCTGACAGCAAAATTTTTCTCAAGTTCTCATTTTGTCTTCATGTGTTTCTCAATACCTATCCATTCTGCATTTTGTGTAGAAAGTGCAATTTGCTTGACAGGTGTTACTGTAGTAGCTTTGCAATATCCTCGCTATGTTACTGAAATTTATTCACCTCCAAAATAAAAAGTTTTAAAAATATTTTCAATCCCTCCGCCATTGGCTCTAATCATCGGAGGGTAGGGGAAGACAAGACTTGTTTCTGAATCTCTGTCAACATCCGTGGGGTGTCCAGTCTGCTCTATGCCCCCCCGGTTTGAGGTGGGTCCGACAGCCAGCGCTGCCCAGTGCCCGCGCTCAGGACTCTCCTTTTTTCCCTCCGGGGCCCATCAGCCAAGGTAAAACATGAACACGTTAATGGTGATCTAACACAACAAGTATTGCACAACTAGGCCGTGACAGGAGCAGCAGGACATGGAGAAATAAAACCTTCTCTGGCCACGGAAACAAAGGAGCTGCGCACATCTGGTGTTGTCTGAAATACTTCTTCGTTTGCAGTGACTGTTCTAGCGACTTTAATTACTTACAGTTCATTTTAGTTATTACGTGTGCTGTAAATTTCCTTCAGCCACAGCAGTTCTGGGAAATTGCTTTGCAGTTTAACGGCAGTGGGTTTGTATCTGCCATGCTAATTCTAGAGTTTAAATTCAAGCAAATGACAACGCGCAAGCTGAAGTGTTCAGGCGATCCCCATGAAGGTTTTCCATTGCCTTTGCGAGGTGCCCCCTTTGCCGACACCTGAGGTTCTCTTCCATGCAGACCTGGCCGTGATCCTGTTCCTCATTGTACGCACCAGTATATCACTGAAAATGAAATGCAAATTAGGAAGGCCGTTATTAATACGAAGCTTAACATTCATACAAAACCCTTTAAAGCTTCTTGTTCTCTCATACTTCCTTGTGCATCACATTTTCAACTCGCTAACCTGCAATGCAATCTGTTGGCACACCTCCTCATCTCTTGTGGGGGCTCATATTCTGTCCACCCGTTTCTCCCTTCGTCTGGCCAGACGGTTATTTCCCTACGCTCCCTGTGCAGTTTTCCTCCCATCACCGTGACCTCCTCTCCCCCAGGACATGGGCCCCTTCTGGCTCCTTCACAGCCTGCGATAAAGCCGAACTCCGCTCCTTTTTTTTTCACCACTGCCATGCAAACGGTTGCTACGACGTTTGCAAAACACACCTCTTGCGGCGTGGGTTTTCTTGAAGCAACACGTGTGAGCGGCACAGTAAGTGTCGAGCTGAACATGCTGCTGGGAGAAGAGGAAGAGGAGAGGGAGGAAGAGGATTCACTCTGAAGCAGACTCGGGGCATGTATCTTGGGGCTTCTATTCAACATGCTTGAGGCAGCAATGCTCCCATGTCCCTGTCACACCTGAAAGTAGACTGGCAGCAGAGACGGTCTCACCCTCAGACAGAGCCGGCACACAGCTGGTGCACACACCTGGAGCCACAGCTGGAAGGTCTTCCTGGTTCCAGCAGTTGAATGTGATCACAGCACCCAAGCCAGCCCGGCACGTCAGCCTCCAAAACGTTAGGTCGTGCTTTCAGGCGGTGATGGGGCAGGAGGCTCAGCAGGTCGTCTCTGCCCCTGCCCCCTAGGGACAGCCAGGCTCAGCTGCCTTGAGTGCGCTGGCAGCCCTGAAGCCCTTTCATGGCCAAATCTCTAGGCCCGATTTACTCTGTAATAAAATATTCCTTAACACCTCCCAAATTTTGCAGTACCAGATCAAAACTGACTAGTTTGAAAGACCATTGGGTGGAA